TGATATTGAGTAATGTCAGTGAAGGATCTGCATATGTGATGACAGTGAGAAGGGAAAGGGTTGTTGTTATTACATTTTGAGCGGTCATAACAGTCGATAGGTCTATTCTTGCATCGATGTCCTCATCTACTTCACCGATGGATACTCTGGTTAACAATAATACAACAATACTCCATCCATCATTAGCACTATTGAGCATCTCAGCTCAGTTACAGGTCCAGCAGTCGAGCATTACAATACGAAGCCTCGGACATTGAAGGTATATACACTGGGCCTGTAACTCAAGAGGCCTTCCTTAAGGAAGGAGCGTAAGATCCTCAAGGAAGGAGCGCCTCCTTATAACTTAGGAGGCTAAGGAGCGTAAGGATTCCTTGAAATTAGGAGGCTAAGGATCTTACGTAAGATCCTTCAGGAACGAGGCTAAGGAGCTGCACCTTATAACACTTAGGAGCCGCTCCTTAAGGTCCTTAACGAAATAGCGTAAGGAGCGTAAGGTTGCTCCGGCTCACCAAAGCGCCGCACCAACTCACCGAACCACGCGCGTTTCGCGAACCACCCACACTAGTTTAACTCAACATTGAAGGTCTAGCTACTCGAAAACCTTTTGGAACACGATAGTGAAACATAGTTTCACAGAGCAAAAGGGTTCATAAACATAAATTAAGAACCCTCTGAAACATATTATCGTCACCAGTGTCGGCACTGCCACGACGAACACCGCGTCTTCTGACATGCCTCTTCGTCCGAGACAGCCAGAGATAGTTTGTGTTGATGATGATGCTGCAGGAGTTGATACACGAGGGTTGTACTGTACAACCCTCGTGGAAATTACCGGAAATATCTAGTTATGTACAACTTGTACATAACTAGATATTTCCAAATTTGCTGCTAAGTTGTAAATCCCATAAGTCGTCACACTATTTAAGTGACTCTAGCGCACGCCGCATCGCGTCGGTACTCAGTCTTCCCTTTACCTACCGTGGCACGGCAACCGTGCTTCTTTCGCCAAAAACTTGGAAGGTAAATCAAAATGTAGCTCACAAAACGAGTGTCGAGTTTTCCCAGTGAGACATGGACTTGAGACAGATCCGCCTGGCCCGCTGAACCCTCTTCGTTAACTTGCTTGAAGCAAGTTGCTTCCCTTCGGGTTTTTGGTTCATCTGTTTCCCTCCGGTTTTTGGTTCACTTGTTTCCCTTCGGTCTCTAACGCCGTTGAAACGAAGTCGCGCTTTATATCGACTACGAGGGCGCGCGCTGAGATTTAGTGATTTAGGACACAAAGTTTAGTGACAGTGTTTGGACACACCCGTTTACTCCCAGCACCTGAATCTCGCCGTTCTTGCTTCTTCTTGCATTTCCTCAGCGGCAAAGTATCATCAACACCACCGCACTCACGACCATCATCAGAAATGACCGTTCGTAGAGATAACGATAATGAGGAAAGTCGACTTACTGGAAGGTGAGCATTATCACACACACGTAAGTATCAATAATCGTTCACAGGCGATTGACAGAGGACGTTTTAAAAGGAATTATTAACAACGAGTAGACAAGTTTACGGTTGTGAAACTGAGATTGAGCGTATCAATGTCATTTAATATAATGGCTCAGGGAAAAAACACCATCAATTGCGGGGCACGCACGTACACAGGACTGCACGCACGAACAAAGCAAGACCGGGCTCGTCAATCCTCAATACGCCCCCTCTGCCCCGACAATTGAGGGTGATGCAGAATCGGCACAACATTATAGTGATGATGATCAACAACGCTACCGTCAGTTAAGACAATACGGATCCTTCTACCTTCATCTAGCAGATCCTTCACATGACCCAAACGGTATCCGGGGCTCAGCTTCTTTTCCGGATGGTAGATCAGCACTGGGTCACCAATCGTAGGCTTCAGGATCTTGTTCTTCAAGCTCTGGTACCCCATAGAGCGAGCGACAGCCATCCTCATGTCGCGGAACATCTCATTCAGGAAATAACACCGCACTGCTCTAACGCGGTGAGAAATAGGAAGAGTAGAAGAGCCACCAGCGAGGACGCAACCTCGCTTACGAGTAAATCCACGAGCCAATTGATCAGGCGTAACCACGACAAACTCGCCAGATGGCTCGTCAGAGTTAGCATAATCCAACGGACGAGTATTCATCAGGAACGTTACCTCCCTGCAGATACTCTCCAAATCGACATCGTCCTTGCGTCG